TCCTGTGTGGGGGCATTAGCTTTTGCCAACGCTGTGATGCATGGCAGACTCAAGCCATTTGTTCTCCTTTTGCTGCACTGCCGAAGGAGTTCCCAAGCATGGGCGAGTTGGCATAGAACCTTTTTGGACCTGCCGAACAGTCAGGGCTGGCATCTCTGGCAGCTTGCAAGGTGTTCGGGCTTGGGTGACCATGCCAGCGGTACTGAATGCAAATGCAGCGCCAACGGCTCTATTCACTCGGCTGCATGGTGTAGTTGGTCATCACGTATCCTTAACATTCGCTCGGTGATTCGGATAAGGTCCTCAGTTCAAACCTGGGTGCGGTCATTACCTTTTGCGTCAGGGGAGCAGGTAGGGCTGGTCCAGCCGCCTGCTCTCTGCACATGTTTTGTTTGAGTGTCAGGGTGTCTATGGTGCGGACCCGCCATAAGCCTTGAAGGAGGTGGTACCACAACGAGTCCCTGATTCTCTGATTAGTCTACGCCGCACTGGCTTGAGTTGGTTCATATTTGCAAAGTGCAACGCTGTAATCAAGCTCGGTTGATCTAGTTGGTTATGATGCGGACCTAATACGACTGTGTTTAGTCCGATGTCGGCGGTTCGATCCCGCCACTGAGCAATGCCTTTTGCCTCGGCCTTGGCCTTTTTTTTTTGCTTCACTGAGCCTCAGACAACACAGCAGGAAGCTCTTACACTGCTCCTCCACCCAGAAGACTTTCGGAACCATGCAGATGCAGACAGAGGCAAGCAGGGTAGGGATGCAAATAGCGTATGCAAATGCAAGAGCAGGCCACTCTAGAACGGACACAGGCTGTAAAAGTCCTCTTTCTCGAGGATCATGAGCGCAGAGGTCTTGTGCGGGAACGTCACAGACCCGTGCCGCTTGAAGCCGATCGACTCCATGTACTGCGAGCGGACCGAGTCAGCAACAGACCCCCAAGGGAGCGAAGCGGATGCGAGACAGACTTTGATGATCTTCTCGTTCTTCTCGTTCGGCTCGCAGATCACGCGTTGCGTGCGAGGGTCATCGAGGAAGCAGTAGTGTGCGAGGGAGGGCATCCAGGCGCGGATGCGGTGAGGGCCGCGGTGTGCGTTCGATCCGACAAGCATGTGCAACCCTGTGAGGAGAATATACCGTCAGTCGCGCGCCCGGAGGCTCGAGAAGAAAGAAGGCGAAAGCGTACCTCGGTCGTAGTCCTGCACGGTGCCAGCGGGCATAATTGGCGCAAGGCGGTCCTCCTGGGAGAAGCGACACCGTTAGCATGGACTCAAGTACTCAGCGGAACGAGCGCCACGCACCTTGACCCAGTAGATCTCGGCATAGACGGCCTGCTCCTCCGGCTGCTGGCGGACCTGCCCATTCTCCTCGCGCAGCTCGACATACGATCCGATGACAGGGATGACATGCGGGTCGCGCGTGTTCTTCTCGATAAACTGCTGGTGCTGCTCCATTGAGCCCTTCTCCATCCAGAACTGGTCGACGCGCGGGTCGTTCATCCAGTTGTGCAGGGTCGGGAGGTCCTTGAGCGTGCAGGTCGAGAGCTTGAAATAGACGGGCGACTGCGGGTCGGTCGTGAGGTGCGGGAGGAAGCGGCTGTAGAGGAGACTGGAGGGGTTGGGCTTGGGCGGGCGGAGAGGGTGCGTGAGTGTCGAGGGCGAGCCTTCGGGCGGGGTGATGGGGAGGTAAGGGAAGGGCGCTCGAGGGGCGTGGTGAGTCTCGGGAACGTCCGAGGCGTAGGTGTACAGCTGGAAGATGGCGGAGCGGGAGATGGTGTATCGGGGCGACTTCTTCGTTGCGCCTGAAGACGGAGACTGGTCAGCCGCGCCCTCTGCATCAGCTCGCCCAACGCACCGAGCTCCATCAAGGCGAGGTCGAGAGCCTCGGCGGGCAGGACGGGCTCAACCTCGAGCTTGTCGGGCGAGTCCCTCCCTCGCGCAAAGTACTTGAAGAGGGCGTTCCACAGCGCCTGAGTCGTGCTCGGGACGTCGTAAGGAGGTGCATCGGGGTCGAGCTTGTTCAGGCGGAGCTGGACGACGCCGTCGACGAGCTGTTGCGGGCGAGAGGGCGGGTCAGCCTTCGTAGGGCGAAGGAGGAGGGACGCCTGCCTCACCTGCGAGTGGAGGACGGAGGAGTGGAATGCGACGGCGGTGGTCGCTACCGCTGCGTTCTTGCGCTTGATGACCGTCTTGATCTCGTCTGCGGATCGAGCGAAGGTAAGGACGTCAGGCGAAAGGGAGAGAGACGGGGGCATCACGCACGGGGAACGGAGAGGGCGGCCTGGAAGGGGACTGTCGCGTTCGGCGGCGAGGCAGGACGGGCGGCGGACGACACTGCGGGCGAGCAAGCGAGTGAGGGTGGTGTTGGATGTGGGGAGGAGAGAGAGGAGCGCACTGGTTCGCCTGAGGAGAGCGACTGAGCGAGTGAGCGACAGCGTGACTGTGAGAGTGTGTGTTTGCTGGATGCACTCACACACAAGAAGGAGACAGAGAGAGAGAGGGAGAGGCGAGGGCGAGGGCGAGAGCAGCGTTCGCTCGTGTCTCGGCCAGACGACCTCGCTCGAGCGACCCAAACTCTCGCCTTCTCCGCGGGTGGCGATGGCGACGAGGACCGCTGCTCAGACGACAGCGCACACACACACACTCGACACGGCGCTCGCTCAAGCGACACTCGACAACGACGACCGCGAGGAGGGCGAGATTGACGACGAGGGCGACGAGGAGAGAGCAGGAGCGGAGGGCGCACACGCCGCGCAGACTGTGACTGTGGCAGACACAGGGCCAGGGAGACCACCCACGGCCACTCCGGCGCTGTCGACGAGCGCCCGTGAGTCCCCCTCGCCTCATCACCTCCCCCCTCGAGCTTGCGGGCTGACTGTCACCGCTCTCTCGCGCGCGCAGTGCTGGCCGTCAAGGACCAGTCGAAGCAGATCATCGCAGAGCTCTTGACCTACGGTGTCTCGCCAGAGTACCTCCTCTCGGTCGGCGTCTCGCGCGACATCCTCGAGATCAGGCGAGTTTGGCTCTCCTGCTCCTCGGACGCTGCCATGCTGACTCGTGCGTGACTCTACAGCTTTCACGAGTTGAACCTCGACCTGGCCGTCCCGACCGTGGCGCCTCAAGCGTTCCCCTACTTCCCTCCGCTCGCGACCTCGCTCTCGGCCCATGCCACGCCTTTCACGCCCCGCTCTCCCCTCTCCCCCGGACGCACCGCCTCACCGCCGCCTGTAAACCCCGAACTAGCCGCGCTCGAAGCGCAGAAGCGCCAACAGCTTCTCGCCCGCAAAGCCGCCCTCCTCGCGCGCAAACAGCAGCAGGCGCTCGAGTCAGACGTCGACGCCCTCTTCGCCGCCGCTCCCTCGCCTGCAACTTCCTCGGCCTCGGCCGTGACGAAAGAGACGAGGTCGGCCCGGCGGAACCGCAAGAAGCGCAAGCTCATGGCTGCGCAAGCGGTGCACGACCTGCGCGAGTCGGTCGACCACACGGAAGAGACGGTCGACGTTCCCTCTCCCGGCCCGTTCGTCGTCGCGGCCAACGCCGAAGCAGGTCCCAGCTCGCGATACAACTCGGTCGCGAGGTCGTCCGCCCAGCCGACCAGCACCTTCGTCCCGACCTCCGTTGCAGGTCGACCAAAGGCGACGGACCTCGAGGGCGAGCCAGCGCACGCCATGAGCTCTGCGAGCTTGACCAAGGGCCACGCTGCGCCTGCCTACATCGCCAGCGCGTCGACGAGGATGATCATCGAGCTCTCGGACGACGAGTCGGAGGAGGAGGAGGAGCAGGCGGGCGATGGGGCGGACGAGGAGATGCGCGACTCGACTCCTTCGACGTCCAATAGCAACCTCCCTTCGCCTTCGCTTGCACCGTCTCAGCCTTCAAGGCGGTCTTCGCGACCACCCGGCGGCGAAGCGGACCAGGCAGCGGCAGCGGCAGCAGCAGCAGAGGCAGCGGCGCGCGCAGCCAAAGCCGAGCTCGACGAGCGCGAGCGCAAGCACCGGCTCGAGGCGAAGGAGCGCGAGATCCGGCGCATGATGGAGCGCATCGCCGAGATGGAGCGAAGGAAGAAGGAGGCCCGGTCGAAGAAGGGCGAGTCGGCGTCGCCTGCACCGCAGCAGACTCCGCCTGTCGCTGCGAACGGTCATGCCGAACAGGCGACTGTCGATGCTCAGCCAAACGACGTCCAAAGTGTCGAATCGTCCATCACAACCGCTGCCGCTCGTGCGACACCCACACCTGCACCGGTCTCGGAGGTGCGAAGTCTCGCAACGACGAACGTCTCTCGCCTGCTCAACCGTCTCGCATACCCCACAGGTTCCCTCGCAACCCCCTTCCTCCGCTTCTTCGGCAAGTCCCGCGCGCTCCGTCGATCGCCCCGCCTCGTCCACCCCGCTGATCCGCTCTCCCGCCGCCTCGCCCTTCTGCTGATTTTCCTCGCGCGCAGCTCTTCCGCCCCTATCAGTCCTCCCTCTCCCGCTACCCGCTCTGTCGCGCATCGGCTGCGTCTGACAGCGCCTCGATACGATCGACCTCTCTCGCGCCAGCAGCTGACGTTCCAGCACCCGCTCCCGCCGAGTCAGGTAAGGCAGGAATCGCTTCCTGGGTTGCTCGCAAGCGCGGGGTCGATACGTCTCGGAGACTGTGCAAGGCCGAGGCTGGAGGTGGGAGGTGTCACGATACCAAGTGCAAGTCGCTGCACATCTCGTCTTTCGTTCCGACTGGTGCGTTCTCCACCCTCTCTCAATCTCTCTTCTGCGTGCCATTCTTGCACGACGCGCAGCGTCGTCTCCGCCCAAACACTCATCCTTACCTCTCCCCTTCTCTAGCGGAGGAAGTGGCGGAGTACGAAGCGCTCGAGCGCGCCGTCGTCCCAACTTCCGCCAACGACGCCTCGCAATGAGCCGAAAACCGTCGCCTGTCTCGCTTCAGCCGCCTCGCCACCGTCTTGCCGTCTTGCGCACGAGCAGGGTTGCCTCGCGCATACCTCTGTTCTTCCGGTGGTTGTCGCCTCGTGGGCCGTTCAAGTCCGCTCTTTCCGCCTGCCATTCTTGTTGTTGTCACCGTGCAACGCCGCAACGTCCAGCATCTCTTCTGGTCACAGCCTCGAGAGCATGACAGCGCGAGGTAAAGCGAATGCAATGCGAGCGAGAGGGCGGAGTATAACATGTGCGAAGTCTACGGAGGAAGGGAAGAGACTGTCATCGACCGGAGACAGGGCGCCAGCACCAGTCTCTGGCCGGCGAGGTATACGCGAAAGTTGCGCCGAGCACGAGGACGGCGCCGACGAAGATACCGAGCGTGACCTGCGAGCGTAGAAGACGTGAGCACCTGGTCGCTTCGAAGGCGAAGAAGCGAGAGGGAGACTTACGTGGAATGAGAAGAGGATCACGGAGGCTGCGACGGAGAGGAGGATGCTCAGGCTCGTGGAGAAGCACTTGAGGAGGTTGTCGGCGTGCTGCATGACGAGAGCTGCGGGTCAGGAGCTTGAGGTCAGCTGCGGAGGTCGCCGCACGAAGCCGAGGTGCGGACGAACCGCTGAGGAGCCCGCCTGTCAGCTGCAGGAGCACCACGACCCACGGCAGCGCGCTGTCGAAGCCGTCGAAGAACCCTCCCATGGCCGTTCGCGTGATGTACTCGGCGCGCGACCAGATCCCTTGATCGAGGTACTCGTAATCGAGTGCGCCGAGGCACCCTCGCATCTCCCACAGGACGACGGGGAAGCCGACGACGAGTCCGAACATGGAGAGCTGGATGTTGCGGATCCAGAGGGAGGGTTTGCCGGAAGGAACGATCGAGTCTGGTGAAGGGAGGGAGGGAGATTGCGATTCTTGGTGGTCGGAGAGGAGGGGCTGATGCGAGGAGGGGAGAGTGGACGAAAGAGCGTGCGACGAGTCATGTGAGGAGTTGGGCGAGGAAGAGGAGGGCGTAGAGGCGACCTTCAGGATCCGCTCGAAGTAGACGGATGCGAAGCCGGACGACATGCATGCTGCGACGACGGCTGCGAGCCCGAGCGCCTGATTCGGTGCGCCATCGTGGTGGACGGCCAGAGCGTCGAGTGAAGAGCCCGCTTCTGATTTTGCCGAGTTGGCGGCGGAAGCAGCGGCGGCAGCGGCTTGCACGGATGACGAGCTGGTGACGGAGAAGAGCTGGACGAGGCCGACACCGAAGGTGAGGATGAAGAGGGCGGCCCATTGTTGTCGTGAGAGTGTGCGGTTGAGGAGGATGACGGAGCACATGGCCGTCGCCGGAATCTGGGCGTAGTCGGACGATTAGCTGCAATCGGCCGAATGAAAGGACATCCGCTGATTCACCTTGAGTTGGTAAGCCAGCTGGAAGAGCGGCACGCTCAGATTCCCGCTCGCGACATACTGCGCGTTCCCTTGGAAGCAGAACAAAGCCGCCAGGACCGCCAGCTTCCACACTCCTTCGCCAAAGACCGACGCCCATAGAGTTCTCCACCATTCGAGTTCGAATACGTCGTCGAGGATGCTCGGCGAAGCGGGACCTGCTGTCCGCCCGTTGAGGTGTCGTTCGGGGTAGAGAGCTGACTCGTCCGGTGTTCGTACGGGCGAAGGATAGGGAGCGGGGGTTGCGGGAATGAGGGCAAGAGAAGGTGCTCCAGTTTTAGCTGGCGCGGCCGTCGCTTGGGCAAGAGCGACGTTGATGCAGAGCGAGGAGCCGGGCCCCGTCCGGGTAGGTGAGATAGGCGACGTCTTCACCTCCGACGACGTTCTCCGGTGCAGCGTGACTGCGCGGGAAGGTTGTCAGCGAGTCTCACGCGAAGGCGAGCTAAATGAACGCACCTGGCACGACTGTCGCGTCCGAGTAGCCCTCGTCTGCCGCTTTCTCGGCCTCACTCGCGCCCGCCTGCTTGACCTCTTTCCACACTCGCTCCTGCTCCTCCTCGGCGTTGCGCCGCCTCTCCTCGTCCTCCTTGCGCTCGCGCTCCTCGATGTCCCTGAGCGTCCAGATAGCCCTCAGCCTCTTCCGTTCCCGCACCGCGCCTCGCAGCTCGCCCGTGCACAGCACAAGTCCCCAGCTGACGATGATCTTGCCGAGCTCTGTCAAGAAGATGGCGGACGAGGCGTGGTATCTTCGGCCGGGGGCAGTGCGCGAGATGTGGAGTACGATGGAGAGGACGCTGTAGTGGATGGTGAGGGCCGTGAGGGACAGAATGGCGGGTCGACTGAGCGGAGCCATCCGTCGTCGCTGGTCCTGCGCGGCGTGGGTGGTGCAAGAGAAGCGGAAGTGCCGGTGAGGAGAAAGGGAGTCGAAGTGCTCAGGCCGCCTGCCTCGGTTGGGTGCGTGGTGCGACGCAGCGAGTGCGAGCGAGAGCGTGGACCAGCCAGTGACCCTCTTCGAAGCCTGCGAAGCGAAAGACGCTAATCTGCGCACGACGAGACGCGACGAGGAGAGCGAGAAAGGTTCGTCCTCTTCCACTCGCTCGACTTCTTGCTGGACTTGCTAGACTCGCACAAAGACTGCTCAGAGCACCGTTAGACGACCGCAGACGCCCCAACTCGCCCGCACGACTCCACTTGACCTCCCGACTCCCCGCTTCTCCTCATCTCATCGTCTCATCAGTTGGCTACCCTCACTCGCACACAGCGCATGATGGCGGCGGCAGTCTCGTCTTCCTGGTCCGGCAGCTCGTCGCTCACGACGCCGCACACCATCACCGTTGGCGGCTTGCCCGTTCACGTCTATGGCCTCCCCGCCCTCACAGTTCCGGCAACGTCGTCCGCCGGACTCGCAGTCGTCTTCGTCCTCCACGGCCGCACAGAGAGTCACGAGCACCCGTCAATTATGGGCATCGTGAACCGCCTCGTCGAGTCGGCGCGGGAAAGGCGCCTCGCTCCCGACGGCAAGGGCGCAAAGGACCTCCTCGTCGTCACTTTTGACCAACGCAACCACGGCCACCGTACCGTCGACCGCGACCGCAACCTCGGGTGGATGGAGGGCGGGCGGAAGCGCGCGCAGGTCCGCAAGGACAAGGGCATGCAGGCGCACGAACTCGACAATGTCAGCCATGCCACCGACATGCTCGCCTGCCAGGGTGCGTCGCGCGTTCGCTGGTGTTGGAGCGTTATGTTGGCGGGCATGTGAGCTGGACTGGGGCCGCGAATGTAGGCTGACCTCCCGCCTGCAGTCGGCACATCCCGCGACGTCTCCTTCTTGATCGACTTCTTGCCGCCTGCGCTCTTCCCGCATGACGAGCGTACCGTGACGGACTGGTACAGTGTCGGCTTCTCGCTCGGCGGGCACGCGACCTGGCTTGCGCTGGCTCACGGTGCGTCTCGTCTGCTCTCGTCCTCCGTCGTGCTGCTCTCTCGCTTCGCAGCACATATGTTCCCAGCTAACCCGCGACGTTCTCACAGAGCCCCGTATCACCCTCGGCGTCCCTATAGTCGGCTCACCCTCGACCCACACCCTCCTGACAAACCGCGCCGCCAACCTCCCTGCACCCGCCGGTCCTCTCCCTCTCTCAGCACCCTACTTCCCCCGCACGCTCATGTCGCTCTTCGACGCTCTCGACCCAGATCGAACGACGAGAGACCGCTGGACGGGCAAGAAAATTTGCGTGCTGAGCGGCGCGGACGACCACCTTGTGGACTACTACAAGGGCGGGAGCGACAAGTTTGTCGAGAAGCTGCGCGAGTGCGGCGTCGAGGTGGATGCATGGGTGCAGCCAAATACGTGCGTGCCGGATCCAGGACTTGCTTGTCTTCCAGGGTGATGTCGCTGACCCGTTTGCTCTCCTTTGCTCCCGTCTCTTCTTCGCACCGCTTGCCTCCGACGTATTCTCTTCGATATGTCGACGCTGCTCGCCTCACTTCACGACCGCACCATCCTCTCGCAGCGGCCACGCCTGCACGCCCGAGATGATCGAGCGGATCTGCGACTTCATCTGGCGCCGCGGCCTCTCGCCGGAGAAGGGCAAGCTCTAGAGCGTGTAGAGGAGGGGCGGGTAGAGGCGATGCAGCATGTAGCTATAGATTCAGACCGAAAACAAGATCTGTTGCCTGTTTCCTCCGTGCTCTGACACTGCTTGCCTCCATTGGGCTTGCGAGCTCTCGGCTCCGCTTGCTCTGCATGAGGTGAGTGTGCGCCATGCCACGCTTAAACAGCAGCTGCCGTCGAAGCCCGGAAGGCGTGTACGTTTGGTTTGTCGGGCTTGCGAGCAGCACAATGCCTCTTCCACATCGTGCATGTTCCCAAACCGTGTCAGTGGCGAAGGAAGGGGTTAGGGTGCTCCGCTGGACACAAGAGCAAAAAGGCAAGCCTCGGGATGCCTGCAAAAGCGCTGGCAGCAAAAGCTAGATGCCCCCACACAGGATCGAACTATGGACCTTTCGCTTACTAGGCGAACGCTCTGCCACTGAGCCATAGGGGCGCTTGTATCGGCTGCTTCACAATTTGCAAATATCTTAAGACTTTGTCTATTTCTGCGTTCCTTGAGCTGTGAGAAGCCGCTGGTGCTTCATATGCGCTGGCGAGTAGTGTAGTCCAGCAAGACTGGTGGCATTAAGGAAAGAGATTTTCATTGGGACAACAAGAAGGCCGTACTTGGGAACAAGGGGGGGTCAACAGGTGCAAAGTCTCACAATCGCCGGTTCGAGAGGTGGCTCAGGCCCCTTCTGCCAGGTGAAGCTGGCTGGCGCTCTACAGCAGCTCGTGGGCTTCTGTCGCAATTGCAAGGGGTTCACAGCAGCTGAAAAGACCCGAGTCTCGCTCCTTGCGCCGAACGAAGCGACGAGGCGAGCGGGAGACCCCCTTCGCGCCAATTGGCGAGAGCACAAGTCGCTTTCCTGGCTCTCCCTCTGCACCAGGGCCTTCGCTTGCTGTACCAAAGTGAGAATTCCCATCACTTCTGTACATCTGTGCCAAAGAACGGCTGCCAGGGAGTGTCCTGATGGCCAGGGATTACAAGGCGGCCTCAACGATTACAATCGCGGGGATTCTCATCATTCACACCCGTTTGGGGGGGGGGGGGGGGGGTCATTGTCTCAACGCACGGCTTCAGCGCAAGCTTCACAGCGTTTGAGAGTCTGGACCGCTTTTGCAACTCCTGACCCGGCAATGAGCAGCCGGCATCTCTGTCCTTGAGCTCTCTCGTCCTCCTCCTGCTCCCTCATGTGCCCCAACTGCCCCTTTCTCTGCACTGAGGAGAACGCCGGCGCTAACTGTAGATGCACAGGCAATTTCTGCTGTGCAGTGGTCTCGAGGCATCAAAGAACGGCGGAAGGAGGATGGACAGGAGCTTGTAGACCCCGCCTTTCGGCTTGAAGCACACACCTCCGGTGCTGACGTGTGACTCGATAGTAACGAGTTGCGAGGTGGACCTTCACAGCATGATGTGAGGGTTGTGAAGCACACACGGGAAACGTGTGCTGAGCCAATGACCCCCCTCGTTTGGGAAGGTCAGCCGCGGTAAACGCCACCACATCTTCACCCACACTACTGTTCTTAGCTGAGTGCACTCTTCTGCACACCTCTAACACTGAGTTGCCTGCCCCTTGCTGCGTGACCTGCTCGCCTAGTCCCCGCTGCCCAACACCGCTCGTCTCCCTCTCCATGTGAGATGCATGAGCGCAAGCAGGACTCGGATGCATGACAGCGGCAGTGGACCAAGCAACAGCCTCTATAGCACAGTGGCAGTGCGTGTCACTCGTATACAAAGGTGTACACATCCATCCGGTCCTAAGGGCCAGGAAGCGGTGATGACAAGGTCGGGTGTTCGATCCACCCTGGAGGCAATAGCTTTTGCCGCCTGGCGTTACCTTTTTGTGTGCCAAGGCGTACCAAGCCGGAGACCGTAATGAGAAGAGAGATCCTGCGGACAGACATGGATGCCTCGTGTGGATCTGACAGCTCGCCGGTAGTTTGGAGCATGGCGCAAGCATCAGCACATCTTGCTGGTTGTTTTGAGCCAGAGAAGCACCGGAGTTTGAGTAAGGGAGACTCGCCGAAGGCGGACAAGGAGGCTGAGGGCAGGGCAGGCGAGAGGGTGGAAGTGCAAGGACCAGTAGTCGAGCGACGCCGCCGCTCGCACTAGGGCCGCTGCAAAGAGGATAAAGCGTCGAGCGTACTCCCGGCTACGGAAGAGATACGACTGATTCGAGCTTTATTCCGACGGAAGCGAGAGATGTAGCCTAAGGGAGAAGAGAGGGAAGCTACGAGAGCGAGTAGAGGCTCACTCAACCATGTCTCATCATTCCACCTCCTCCTCCAACACCGTGAACCGATTGCTGAGGGGAAGCGAAGGCAAGGCCGGTTCAAGAGGCGAGGACGAAGTCGAGCGAGTGGAAGGCGAAGTAGCCGGACGGAGACGGCGAGAGCTTACAGGAAGGCTGCGGGAAGGCTGGCATCAGGGTGGACGAGGGTCTCCTATCTAGCAGGAGCCAAGGCCAGGCGCAAGGCCGGTCCCCCCGGCTGATCTGATGGTGAGATGGAGGGGGGGCGGGTCGAAGGGCGGACATCGAGATCCAGAGTGTGGAGCGCCTGAATAAGCGGCTTGGATGGGTTGCTGCTGGCTGTAGAGCTATACCTCAATTCAAGGAAGCCTGTGTATCAAGTGCACTGCACCGGAGTGAGAGACAAGAGAGGGAGAAAGGGACATCGGACGAGGGGGCGGAACTTTGGGAATGCCCGGGTTGGTTAAGCCCTTGCACCTGATCTTTGACTTCCGTAGTCATTCTTTTTGACCTGGCTCATGAGCTCTGGGCACAGTGCCAGTAATGACTGTCACACTGGCAGGGATTGCGCAAGGAGAAGGGCCGCTGCAATTTGTGAAGCAGTGTCGCAGTCCCCAAGCGTGTCTCTCTGCAGGTGAATTGTCCCTCCTCTGACATTTCTGAAAGCAGTGCTACTTGAGCTGTGCCTACAGCTGGGTACAGGAACAAGCAGGGAGCAGCCGTCCTCTCTCCCGCTAAGCCCTGAATGTACAGCAGGGCAAGTTGGCCTTCAGAGTGAGCTTGAAGAGCAACTCCAAGTCAGTTTCAACTCTCTGCGCCTTGGACGGAGACCTCTGCGCCGCAGACCTTCAGAGGTGCCAGGAGCAGCAAGCCCGGAAGAAGGCGCTTGTTTGTCGGGCCAACGTCGCACTTGGGGTCTGCGCTCCTCGCGCCGTCTTGTACGAGTGTCTATAAGCCTAACGAAGGTGTGCCAAGTCACTGCGCGACGTCGTGCGGACGAGAGGGGAGAAGGAGAGTCGACGGGGGCCGATGAGTTCTGTCAGCCTTGGCTCTCGCTCACACGGCGAAGACGCGCTTTGCGCTTCGAACGAAACCGCACGCCAGAGCACATGATGCAGGCTCCTGCGGGAGGGAGGGACAAGGTGTCAGTTGGGAGTTGCAAGTCGAGGACGAGGAGCGCGGGGTGGCCTCTGTCGGACAGCGACTGGGGTCGGACTGCTCGACTGCAATCGAATGCAGTCGATGCTGCTGGTGCTGACGGTGCGGCGGCATGCGGCGAAATTCGCGAGGAAAGAGGGACGCGCCGTGGACGCGCCTCGCCCGAATCGCCCAAGACGCGTCGCTCGCCTCGCTCTCTCTTCCTTCCCTCTCCTCATCTCTCTCTCTCGCTTCCTCTCCCTCTTGAGCCACTCACAGACTCACTCGGCTCGTCCGCACTACTCCACAACCCCACTCTCTCTTTCCATCCCAGCCCGGCGGAATGGCCTTCGTCTACAAGGTAAGCTTGCCAGACTGGACGCGTCCGAGCGATGCTGACCAACCTCGTCTCTCACCCTGCGCAGCGCGGTACGCTCTCACACGCACACTAGCGAGACGCTGGGATCGCCATCGAAGCCGCGCGCAAGCTGACACGCCCTCTTTGCCCGCTCCCAGATGGTCGTCGCGAGCAGGTCGCGTTCGACAAGATGTGCGTCCCACAGCCCGCTCGCGAGCATGCGCGGGCAATAGTACTGACGCAGGTCTACGGCACACAGCACGGCGCGCATCAACAAGCTCTGCTACGGCCTGGACATGAACCATGTCGAGCCGATCGAGGTCCGTCTCGAGTCGCGTCCGGGCGGGCTCTCACGCCAGGCGCTGACCGCCTTGCACGCAACAGATCACGAAGCGTGTCATCAACGGCGTCTACCAGGGCGTCACGACCGTCGAGCTCGACAACCTCGCTGCCGAGACCGCCGCTTACATGACCACCCGCCACCCTGTTCGTCGCTTTTCGTGGGGCTGCTCGCTCTCCGGGCAACTTTCCGCTGACACGAGCGAACCTCCACGGACAGGACTACGCCATCCTCGCCGCCCGCATCGCCATCTCGAACTTGCACAAGGAGACGAAGAAGACCTTCTCGCATGTCATCTCGGACCTGTACCACTACAGTGCGTTTCGCGGGCGGTCACAGCAAGCTACATCACTGACTGGTCTTTGCACGCAGTCAACCCGAAGAACGGCCGCCCGTCGAGCATGATCTCGGAAGAAACCTACAAGACCATCATGGCCAACGCCGACAAGCTCAACAGCGCTGTCATCTACGACCGCGACTTTTCCTACGTGCGTTGCGCGCACTCGCGAGCGAGAGACCTGCAGACTGACGACTTCCGCGCGCGCCCGCAGAACTACTTCGGCTTCAAGACGCTCGAGCGGTCGTACCTGCTCCGCCTCGACGGCAAGGTGGCCGAGCGACCGCAGCACATGCTCATGCGTGTCGCGGTCGGCATCCACGGCGACGACATTGAGCGCGCGATCGAGACGTACAACCTCATGTCGGAGCGGTACTTTACGCACGCCTCGCCGACGCTCTTCAACGCCGGCACGCCGCACCCGCAGCTCTCGTCGTGCTTCCTCGTCACGATGAAGGACGACTCGATCGAGGGCATCTACGACACGCTCAAGACGTGCGCGCTCATCTCCAAGACGGCCGGCGGCATCGGTCTCTCGATCCACAACATCCGCGCGACCGGCTCGTACATCGCCGGCACGAACGGCTACTCGAACGGCATCATCCCCATGCTCCGCGTGTACAACAACACCGCGCGCTACGTCGACCAGGGCGGCAACAAGCGCCCGGGCGCGTTCGCCATCTACCTCGAGCCGTGGCACGCCGACATCTTCGAGTTCCTCGACCTCCGCAAGAACCACGGCAAGGAGGAGGTCCGCGCGCGCGACTTGTTCTTTGCCCTCTGGATTCCCGACCTCTTCATGGAGCGTGTCGAGCAGAACGGCGACTGGCCCCTCTTCTGCCCTGCCGAGGCACCCGGCCTCCACGAGGTCTACGGCGACGAGTTCAAGGAGCTGTTCGAGAAGTATGAGAAGGAGGGTCGCGCCAAGCGCACCATTCCCGCCCAGAAGCTCTGGTACGCCATCCTCGAGGCCCAGGTCGAGACGGGCAACCCCTTCATGCTCTACAAGGACGCCGCCAACAGTGCGTATTCACTTCGTCGCCTCATGAGGCGCAGATCACTGACGAGCACACCTCGCCCGCCTTGCAGAAAAGTCGAACCAGAAGAACCTCGGCACGATCAAGTCGTCGAACTTGTGCACCGAGATCATCGAGTACTCTTCGCCTGACGAGTGGTGCGTAGCCCGCCTGACCTCCCACACATCGCTCCGCTGACACGGTCGCCTCGCAGCGCCGTCTGCAACCTCGCGTCGATCGCGCTCCCGTCGTTCATCAAGAACGGCGAGTACGACTTCAAGAAGCTGCACGACGTCGTCAAGGTCGTCACGTACAACTTGAACCGCATCATCGACGTCAACTACTACCCCGTCAAGGAGGCCGAGCGCAGCAACTTCCGCCACCGCCCGATCGGTATCGGTGTGCAGGGTCTCGCCGACGCCTTCATGGCCCTCCGTCTGCCGTTCGACTCGCCCGAGGCGCGCCACCTCAACGTCCAGATCTTCGAGACGATCTACCACGCCGCGATCGAGTCGTCGTGCGACATGGCCCGCGACTACGCCATCGCCCACCCCGGCGAGCCCGGCTGGTACCCCTCGTACAAGGAGAACGGCGGCTCGCCCGCGAGCCACGGCCTCTTGCAGTACGACCTGTGGAACGTCACGCCGACGGACCTGTGGGACTGGGCCGAGTTGAAGGAGAAGATTGCGCAGCACGGCATCCGCAACTCGCTCGTCTGCGCGCCGATGCCGACCGCGTCGACCAGTCAGATCCTTGGCTTCAACGAGGCGTTCGAGCCGTACACGTCCAACATCTACACCCGCCGTGTCCTCGCCGGCGAGTTCCAAGTCGTCAACCCCTGGCTCCTCCGCGACCTCGTCGACCGCGGCCTGTGGAACGACGCGATGAAGAACACGATCATCGCGCACAACGGCTCGATCCAGAACGTCCCCGGTATCCCTGATGAGCTCAAGCGCATCTACAAGACGGTGTGGGAGATCTCGCAGAAGGTCGTCATCGACCTCTCCGCCGACCGCGGAGCGTTCATCGACCAGTCGCAGTCGCTCAACGTCCACCTCTCGTCGCCGACCATGGCGCAGCTCACGTCGATGCACTTCTACGGCTGGAAGAAGGGTCTCAAGACGGGCATGTACTACCTCCGTACCCGCGCCGCCGTCGGCGCCATCAAGTTCACCGTCGACCAGGCCACCCTCAGTGCGTGCGAGTCCCTTCTCTCCCCGTGTACAGCTGCTGACAGTGCCCGCGCCCCGCAGACGAGGCAAAGAAGGCGAACGGAACCAAGGCAGCTCCTGTTGCCGCCCCGCCCGTCGCCGCCGCCCGCCCTTCGCCCATCCGCGACATCACGAACGGCGTCGCGCGCACCTCGCTCTCGAACGGCGTCCCCTCCAAGCTCTCGTCGACCAGCAGCTCGTCTGCGTATTCGCCCACTCCCCCTTCACCCGCTGACCCGACTCCTGCGCCCGTCGTCACCGCCGCCGCGCCTCTCGCTGCTGCCGCACCCGTGACGGACGACGGCGAGATCACGTACGAGGAGGCGATGCGGAGGAAGGAGCAGCGCGACCTCGAGGAGGCCCAGTTGCTGTGTTCGCTGTGAGTCCCGTCTCCTCCTCCCCTCGATCCGCAACTCCTTACAGATTTGCTGACGCGTGTCTCCATCTGCAGAGAGAACCCTGGCGCCTGTACGATGTGCTCGGGCTAGGTCCAGTCCCAGCGAGTCTGTTTGTCGTTCTCCACCCGTTCCTTTCAGCTGTCTCCTCTCTCCATCTCCTCTTCGTGTACTCCACACATTCGCTCATCATCACCGACACCGCTGGCGCCGAATCGTTGCCGCAACTTTGCATCCCCTTCGCCTTTCGTCGTGCTTACATCCTCTTCCTCCCGCCTTTTTCACTATGTCGCCTCGTTCCGTTGTACCCGCTCGGCGTACAAATGTCATCGCTTCTGTAATCTCGTCTGTCCGCGCACACCCTGTCGTACGAGAGTTGTCCACCCTTCCGCTCCTTTGCTTCCTTCCGTTCACTCCTGCCGCTTTCTACCGCTTCGCCGGCATGACTACCGAGCTCTCCATCTCTGGCATCCTCCCAGCGACGCTCTACCCAGCCACGACGTCACGCCTGTCCGCCTTCTGCGACTCTGCCGACTCGTTCGCTCTCCGGGAAGAAGTGTACGAAAGAACAGCTGCCAGCTCGAGCGGGGCACCCGCGCCGGATCCAGACAGCCAAAGAGTACGAGTCAAGGCGCTCAGGACGCGCTCAAAGGGCGAACGGGTCGAATGGTGCGGTTCCTCTCATCCTCATCGCTCCCCACATCAAGATCCTGCACAACACCGAGAGGCGGGCTGACACGTGCGTGAACAGGACGATACAGCTGAACCAGAAGCCTGAGCCGCCCCGAACGGCCCCAAGAGCGCTTCAGTTTGGCGTGACAGAGTTCGCGGTCGAGGAGGGTTCGGATCCGAGGGCGTTGGTCGACTCGCTGGGCTTCAGGTGAGCTCCTTTGCGTCCTGATTAGTGTTTAGCGCCCTTACTGACCCCTCGGATCGCTTGGCAGCAAGAAGGCTTTCGTTACGCATCGGAGAGGACAGGTCTGGCGACGAGGGGCAGTCTCCGTGGAGCTTTTCCAGCTGTACGAGGTGTGCAGCGCCTGTTTTTGCCTTCGCTGTCGAGAGCAAAGCTGACACTCGTTCTCTCGCAGTCCGATACAGCGCCAGAGCCCCTAGATCCCGCCTCCTACGCCGTCTCCGTCTCAACACGCTTCACAGCATCCTCTTCCTCCTCGTCCTCCGCTCCAAACGGCCGCGCAACGAGTAACCCTGGGACCCCGGGAGCGGGCGCATCGCAGGAAGTGCGGGATAGAGCGATCGCTGCGTTGGAGGATGTCGCGAGGTTGTTGAAGGGGTTGGTAGATCTGGCGAGGGTGGATTGAGAGGCGTCTTGAGGCTGCTGCGGACGTCATGCGAGCGGAAATGAACTCGGGCGGAGAAGAGTCCTACTTGCGCTGAACGGGACGTAGGGCGAGACGCTCGAGGTGTGAAGGTCTCCCGGAGACCTCGCCTGCGATCGAGGTCAGGCAGCTTTCGCTCGTCGACAGGTCAATGAGAAAGGAAAAGGCACTGTTACAACAACACGCTCGACCGCTAGTCCCAACAGACCGCGCCTCAAAACCCGTTCCTCACCTCCTCTCGCATCGACTCTCGTCATGCGTCGTCCGGCACCCGATGTCGCAGTACTTGAGCCCACACCTCAAGCACGAGTATTTGCCGGTATAGCCGCAGACGGAACAAATGGCGAGAGGAGGGTGTCGTGAGGGAGGAGCAGCGGCGGTGAGGTAGTTGGGCTGGTTGGGCAGGGCTTCCGACAGGTTCTGCGGTTGGGGAAAGTGTCAGCGACGAGCAGTGTGAGCGGGAGGGAAGCAGGACGCACGGATTCGTCAAGGAGAGCAGCGAGGTTCTTCCGGTACATGAGGAGGGAGCGGACCGCCATCGACCGCTTGCGCTTCTTGCCTGCGGACGAACGAAGGCGTTAGCCACGCGGAGCCTCGTCAACGACTCTTACGACCCAAAACCCCGAACGGACCGTCGTCGTCCTTGCCCAGCGCCGTCGGCCCCTTGCTCTCGTCGTCCGCCTCGCCGTAAGCCGATGGACCGGTCGTCGGCTCGGTGTAATTCGTCCGTTCGAGATCGTTGAGATGCCGCTTGACCCGCCGCGCGACATACTCGGAGTCTGCGATGACAGCGGAAGGATTGGCGGCGCGCTGCGCTGCGGGCGTCGAGGGAGCTGTGAGTCGCGGTGGGACAGCGAGCATCGCTTCAGTGTCTACTCACGCTGCCTCCTGTCCTTTTTCGTCGTCGCGAGCATGATTGGCGGGTGTTGGTCGAGGGTAAGGGAGGTGCGTCGAGGACTTGGCACTCACCGCTCACCGCAACTCGCATAGGAGCATCTACAAGTGAGTCAGAGCGCTCATATACCGCCATTGTATCAGATCATTGACCGGCAACTCCTCCCCCGCTCGCAGTGGACCCGGCACAGCTCCGCAACATCGCAGCCCAGTTCGGCGGAGGAGGGGCGCAAGGCGGCGTCGCAGGGGACATCCCGACCAACGACAATGCAGAGACGGTCCACATCAGCAGTCTGGCGCTGCTCAAGGTGCGCTCGAGCTGCTTGCTGGGCGAGTTGGGCCACCGCTGACGTCTCCCCTCTCATCGCTCTCCACCTGGTGGCTCCTTGTGCACAGATGCTGAAGCACGGACGGGCAGGAGTGCCGCTGGAGGTCATGGGGTTGATGTTGGGAGACTTTGTGGACGAGTACACTGTGCGGGTAATCGGTTCGTCTCGCTTCCTCCCCTCGCTCTGCTCCTGTAGCTGATCTTGCTTTCGTGCATGTTGAACAGACGTCTTTGCGATGCCTCAAAGCGGTACGGGCGTGTCGGTCGAAGCGGTGGACCCGGTCTTCCAGACAAAGATGCTCGACATGCTCAAGCAGACAGGACGGTTCGCCTCTTCTGCTCCTCTCGCTTTCAATGAAGCTGATCCAATCGTATCGCGCAGACCAGAGATGGTCGTCGGGTGGTACCACTCTCACCCCGGGTTCGGATGCTGGCTGTCGAGCGTTGATGTCAACACGCAACAAGTGCGCTCTTCCCTCTTCTCACGATTGCCTCTTGCTTACACTCCATCCCCATGCAGTCCTTCGAGCAGCTCAACCCCCGCGCCGTGGCCGTCGTCGTCGACCCGATCCAGTCCGTCAAGGGCAAGGTCGTGATTGATGCGTTTCGGTCCATCAACCCTCAACAGGTCATGATGGGTATCGAGCCGCGACAGAGCACGAGCAACGTCGGACACTTGCAGCAGCCTAGCATTCAGGTGCGTTCCCGCGTTGTCAGCGACTTGGACGGGGGCTGACTCGCTCGCTTCCGCAGGCTCTCATCCACGGCTTGAACCGACATTACTACTCGATCGCGATCGCCTACCGCAAGACCGACCTCGAGCAGAGCATGCTGTTGAACTTGCACAAGAAGGATTGGACTGAGGGACTCAAGTTGCGCGACTGGCAGGCAATGAAGAAGGAGAACGAGGAGAGCATCAAGGTGCGTTGCCGTCTCTCGGTCGGCAACTTGCCGTGCAACGGTCAGTCCGCTGATGGAAACGTCGAAATACGCGCAGCGCATGCTGCAACTCGCACAAACATACACTGCGTCGGTCAAGGAGGAAGCGACGCTGACCCCGCAGCAGCTCAAGACACGGCACGTCGGCAAGCAGGACCCGAAGCGGCATCTCGAGGAGGCTGTCGAAAAGGCGATGGGCGACTCGATCGTGCAGAGTCTGGGGACGATGCTCTCGCTCGGAGCGTTGTAGTGCCTCGACCTGCATGCAATACTCCCTTGAAGCTTGAACGAGTCCGCGCAACGAGAGCAGGCTAGATTGCGTCAAGCTTGGCCTTCGCCGTATCCCGCTGTTTCCGCCATACGCCCAACCACTCTGTCTCCGCCTTCTTGACCTCCTCGCTCCCTCGCTCGTCGACCGCCTCTTCGATGCACTTAGCCAGCTCCTCCCCGACGCTCAGGACCTCCTCTACCGCCTCCTTAAGCTCATCCTGTGGCGGTTCGAGCGCAGCAGCGAGGTCGTCGCCCATTTCTGAGACCCGGCTGACTAGAGTATGTGTGGATGCGAGGAAAGAAGGGTCGGTGAAGGCGGGAGAGGGATTTGGCGGAGCTGTCTTGGTGAAGAGGCGATTGACGAGTAGGCGAGTAAGGCGGAGGAGAAGGTGGGCGGCGGTGATGCGTCCCCGTTGTGCGGGTGTGAGGGGTGTCGAGCCAAAGTCGTCGTCGTCGTCGTCCTCCCCCTCTTCCTCCTCGTCTCCTTCCGCTCCCGCATCCTCCGCCTCTCCCATCTCCTTCATCTCCTCCAGACAGTCGTCCAACAGGCCAAGCACATCCTTCCATCCAAGCCGTTCAGCCTCGAGCTCATCCTTCGGCAAGCCCTGCGCCTTGTCGACGACGCTCCAGACGGTCTTGGCTGATCGGAGAAGCTCGTCTCGTGCAGCTTTGGCGGAAGAAGAAGGGGCGGCGAGGGTAGAGGAGATGGAGGAAAGGAAGTGTTGGAACGCTTCGAGCGATTCTTGAACGGTCCAGCTGTGTAACGGGTGAGCGGTTCAGCTAACTCCGTCCCTCAAAATTCGAGAATTCATGGCATACGCACTTTATCCGTTTCGCAAGGGTTCCATCGCGCGGCAAGAGCTCAGCGGCATAGACCAACTTCCCGACGACCCCGACCAGCTTCTCCAGCGTCCCCTTAAGCGCGTCCTGGCTGACAGGCGGTCTCAACGCAAGCGAGATGGCCGTCACCTCCTTGCTTATGGCCTGCAGGTGCGCGAGGACGTCGTTTCGAATGTCTGAGAGGGAAGGGGGCGATGAAGATTCGGCGGGAGAGAGGGCGGCTGGTTCGCGGTTCGGCCGCTTCAGAGAGGCGAGAGTAGCCGTGCAGGACTCGTCCAGCACCCGAACGAGCTCGTCAGCAGGTCTTGCAGCGGGTGCCATCGTGCGGTCGAAGTGAAAGAGAGGTTCGTCAAGAACCCCGCAGCTCGACTCGCTCTGCTGGACTTGCTAGGACAGCAAGACGCCGCTCAAGAAGCTTACCATCCTTACCCGCTACTTCGTCCCGCCTCCCCCCGTCTCCCCCCGCAATGGGTCTGTTCGGCGGCCTCCTGAACTGGCTGCGGTCGCTCTTCTGGAGCAAGTCGATGGACATAGCGTGCATAGGGCTGCAGAACGCAGGCAAGGTGCGTCACGCGTCCTTCCTCCGCTCCAGGCGTCTCCTTCGCCTCGTCCGGCCAGGTCGGGCTATGTCATCGAACAAGGGGTGCTAACCCTCTGTTTCCTCTGTTGCGCAGACCTCGCTGGTGAACATCTTGACGAACAATCAGTTCAGCGAGTCGATGATCCCGACCGTGTGAGTCGGGCGAGACGGCCGCCTCAACTCGCCGCGAGTTGACCTGACCCTTTCGCTCGTTTGCCTGCAGCGGATTCAACCTGCGGAAAATCCAGAAGGGCAATGTTGTGAGTCGGAAACTCTGCGATTTCAGGTCGAAGACTCTGCTGACAAAGTCATCGCGCTGGACAGACATTAAAGGTCTGGGGTACGCAAACACTCCCCTGTGCCCGCCGCCTTCTGTCCTAACCGCCATCATGCGCCCGCAGACCTCGCAGGACAACCTCGCTTCCGCTCGATCTGGGAACGGTACTGCCGCGGCGTGAACGCGATAGTCTGGGTCCTCGACTCGGCAGATCGCGAGACGTTCTCGACGTCGAGGGCGGAGCTGCATGCGTTGCTGGAGAAGCCGGAGCTCAAGGGCATTCCTTTACTGGTACGTGCGTTCTGGAGGAGAAGAAGGACGAAGTCTGACACGAATTACGTCCGCAGGTCCTCGCCAACAAGAACGACCTGGCAGATCACGCGACGGTCGACGAGGTCATCTCTGCACTAGCACTGGCGACGATTCGAAACCGCGAAGTCAGCTGCTACTCCATCTCAGGTGGGTTCGCCGACTTCTCTCGAATGCCAGCAGCTCGTTGACCTTGTTCCACTCTTCCTCGCAGCCAAGTCGAGCCGCAACATCGACATCACTCTCGCTTGGTGCGTCATAGTGTTCGGCACGCTACGCAAGCCTGGCTAACCAGACTTCTGTTGCGCAGGCTCATGAAGCGCGCGTAGCCCTGCTCGTCTCCCTCCGGTTTGCCGTTAAGACGCTCCGTCCCTGCCATACCCTGTACAGTGATTCGTCTTTCTGCAAATTGTTGTCGTATTCGCTTCACCGAAAGGTCACCCCCGAGACCTTGACTTCTCGTCGAAACACGGCTTGTCCTTCAACCTCGCATGGCTCCGTTCCCCAGCTTCACCGGCCCGCCTGCTGAGACGAAGACTATCCGCATCCCGACCTTTCGCTCGCCCACAGCCAAGACCCAGCCCGCGCCTGTCCCACAGAACCGAGACGAAGCGCGTGCAGCGAGGCTGAAGACGAGTGGAGAAGGGTGCGTACAACACGCTCGTGAGGGCGTGTGAGCATGCACAGAGCTGACTATAGCTCTGTTGGGACAGGCAATGGGCCTCACTCGACGCGCTCGCCTCGGCAGGACCCTCCTCTCTCGCCCATCTGCTCGCCAAACGAGACCCCTCGACCTCCCGTTCAACCGCATCGTCGAGCTCTTCGCGCCCGAAGCCAGTCCCAGAACCGTCTAAAAAGGGTGCTGCTGCGCGCAAGTCGCCGAGGAAGTCGGGAGCGAGGGGGGAAGTCGGTCGGACGGCGGAAGGAGCTAGCGAGGGTGATCCTCCGGTCTCTGGGCCGTCAAAGCCGACCAAGCGTCTTCCGCGCGCGTCGGCCTTCCCGAAGGACTCGACAGTGACGGCGAATGCGATGCCCGGTGTACCTCCTTCACCCATCGACGACGGTCCCGCTCCTCCTCCTCCGCCACCTCCCGCCGTCTCGACTTCTGCGTCGAAGAAGAAGCCTCGCAAGTCGACTGCGAAGCCCAAGAAGGACGCTCAGATCGCGAAGGACGACGGGGAGGAAGCCGCGAAGGTGAAGAAGACGCTGAAGCGCAAGTCGGCTGCTGCTGCTGTCATCGGCCAAGACGAAGCCGCGGACGAGGCGGCGAAGCCGACGAAAAAGCGGAGGTCGAGCGTGAAGGGCAAGGGGAAGGCACAGGAGGTCGAGCAGGACCACGGCGAGGACAATCGCCCGCAGGCGGAGGCTCTCGTCTCGGTCGCAAAGAAGGCTCGACGCTCTTCGACTCAGAAGACGGAGACGGATACGGCTACGAGGACGAAGCCGCAGAAGGAGCCGAAGCGCCGTCAAAAGACTCGAGTCGCCGGACCTGTCGTCGCCTCTCCTCCGCCTCCCTCGCCTTCCGCCGACGAATCCGCCGACGCATCGGCCGCACCAGCTCGGAAGAAGAAGCGGGCGTGGAATAGCGCTGCGCAGGCGGACGAGCAGGAGGAGCCGAAGCCGAAGAAGGCGAGGAAGAGCGTTCCGGCGGCTGCGTCGGCCGTAGAGAGGAAGGTCACGTCGAAGGGCAAGACCAAGGGGAAGGAGAAGGCCGAGTCGCCGGAAAAGGAGGAGGCGGCGGGAGCAGCTCGAGCGGCGAAGCGGAAGCGGTGAGCAGGACTCTCCTTCCCTGCGTAGCTCGTCAAGCTGATAAGGTTTCACTTACAGGACTGGGTCTGCCGCCGCCGACCCTGCAAAGGCCGCGAAGCGCCGTCCCGTGCCCTCCGCCGCAACAACCTCCACCTCGCGCAGACAACCCGCCGCCAGCACCTCCCGTCAACCCGCGCGCCGCGCCCGCTCCCCTACTCCCGATACGTCCGATGACGACGACGCCGAAGACGCCGACCAGAGCAAGAAGGGCGTGAAGGTCCGCACGGAGCGGCTCAAGGGGAACAAGGGCAAGCTGAACGTGTTTGATGTCGTTGCGGGAGGGACGAGGAGGATGCTTGATCAGCTAATGTGCGTGAGAAGACCTACGACTACGTCGCGCTTTTGCACAGAAGCCAGGCTGACGTTTCCAGTCCTGTTCTTGGTCACGCACAGCGAGGAGCACGGCAAGAACCCTCGCACCCTCAAGCTCCTCCAGTGCTTCGCCTCGAGCGTGCAATCCCCACTTCTCTCACGCGTACGTCCCGCTCACTTTCTCACCCTCCAACCGTCCCTGACCCTGCACGTCGCACAGTCCGCCCTCCTCTCAACCCTCACAGCTCACACCCGCGCCCTCACCTCCGCCCGGACAAAGAACAAGAAATTACGTCTCGAGCTTGTGGAGATGCAGAGAGCGAGAGCGGAGGTTGAGCGGGAGATGAGAAGGAGGGAGGAGCAGTGGGCGAGGGAGGAGAAGGAGGCGGAGGTGCGTTCCGCTCGCGATTGCGGCTGGTCTCTCGCTGCGCAGATGCGGTGCGCTAGCGGACTTGAGCTGACGCCTCAGGAGGGTGTACAGACGATCACCTCGACGCACGACTTTCTCGCCAACCTGAGCGCCGCCTCCTCTGCCTGGCGCTGAACCCGCCCCCGCCCGCTCGCCGTCCCCCCGAACCTTTTCTATCGTTATGTCTATCGATTTGCGTTCTTTGCTGCTACCTATCGTTTGTTGCTTTGTCCTCGCGCACACCGAGGGAAGAGATGGCAGCTCTTACGCGTCCTCTCCAGGTTTGTCGCAGGCAGCGAGAGAAGTAGACGCGAGATCAAGAAATGCACAAATGAGAGAAAACTCGAACGACGAAAGCATGGGTATCAAACTCCGCTCCCCTCGCCCCTCCCCCTTCCCCTCCGATCCCCACCGCTCAGCGCAACAACCCCATCAAAACCTCCTCCAACCTCCTCCTCTCCTCCTCCCCCACCCCACCCCCCTCACTCGCCGCTTGAGCCCTCAACTTGTCCCTGACCTCCTCGACCCACTTTACTTTGAGCTGTTCGAAACTGGGTGCGTTGGGTGGGAGGGGGACGTTGAAGTTTGTTGAGGTGGGCGGGCGGACGGCGATGGATTTGGGTTTCTTGGGTGACCGGGAGCGGAGGCGAGAGGAAGGAGTGAGGTGTTCAACTCGACTTGCTTCGCCCTCTCCAACCAAATCCCACTCTCCCTCTCCCTCCCCTTCCTCCCCATCCTCCCCATCCTCTCCCTCCTCCTCCGCCGAATGCGAAAGCGAACTCGCCACAAATTCTCCCAGAGGCGAGTCGTTCAAACTCCGGAGGACGATCGACTCGCCCCGCCTGGGCTGGCGGGTTGAGGGGAGGAGAGGAGTGGGAGGGACGGGGTTTGCGGTGGTGGTGCGGTAGACGAAGTTTGCGTTTGCGGAGGAGGAGGCGGTTGTCGAGGGCCGGAGACGGAGGCGGGTTTTGCGAGCCTGTTTTTGGGGGTTTTGGATTTCCAAAGCGAGCGAGCGATGGTGTGCGACAGGCGGAACAGTGGAGTGTGGGAGACGCAACGGGCGTGAGCGGTGAAGAGTCGATTGAGAAGGGAAGGGCGGGGAAGTCAGAGAGAAAGGTCGGCGCGAGGGCGTGGGTGCCGCAGAGGTGGAAGTGGGTCGTCGGGTGTGTATGGAGCGAGGCCGGGAAGAGGCAGAAACGAGTGGAGAGGCGAAGGCGGGATCGGAGAAAGGCAGGATGGGAAGAGCAGGGAGAGAGCGAGTCGTCAGCTTCCCATCATCACATCCTCTCCCTTCCTCCAAGACCTCGAGGAAGAGAACAACTTCGACGTACCGTCCCACCGCCCTCCGCCGCACCTCCAGCCTTCCGCACGCTCCCCGGCGCTTTCCCCTTCCCCTTCAAGTCCGCAGCCGAAGTCGCCTGACGGAGTTTCTTGTGCTTGATGGCGCTGGCTGTCGCGAGGAAGGGGTTGTCGGTGTCTTCGGGGTCTTCGATGTCTGCACGGGAAAGGAGGGAGAGAGGGGGTCAGTAAAAGCTACGAGGTTTGGGACGATGCGGATAATGAGAGGAGGAAGGTCGGAGGAGGAGAATTTTGGGAAGGGCGAGAGTGGCGAGGGAGAGAGAGCGAGGGAGCGGAAGAAATCGGCGAGAGGAGCGAGGGAGGGGAGAAGGCGGATAGGCGGGCAAAGTAGGGGATGGAGGAAATGGAGAACGACGCTAAAGGGGAAGATAAGCTCACCCTGACCGTCTTGGCGCGGCGAGAGCGGGAGGACGCGTTTCCTGCGCATATGGGACCCGAAGAAGGACCAAGCGAGATCTCGGCGTCAGCTTCTTCTCGCACAGTCAAGTCGTTCGCACAACGCACCTCTTCCTCGCACTCGCCAACACCCCCTGCGCCCCGTCCTTCGCCTCCCTAACTCTCATCTCCTCCTCCACGACCCCCCTCAGTGCCCTGCCCGCATCGCTCCCAAACTCGCCCACGAAGCGCGCGAGAGGCATCTCCCTCACGCGCGGGTCGAGCGACGAGAGGGTGTCGGTGAAGTGACGGGTGAGGGAGGAGAGGGAGGTCGAGCGGGAGGTCGAGAGCGTGCGGAGGTACGATGCGGCTGTTCGTCGCGTGCGTCATCGTCAGCTACATCCTCGAGTTCCTGGAGACGGGAGACGGCGCAACGCGACGCACCCTCGAGTTCACAGTCCTCGATCAAAGCCTGTACCTCTGCCCATCCGAGCGCGTCGTCCTTGTCCTGTGCGGGCTCATCGTGCAGGATCTGGACCTCCCTGAGGGGTTGTTTCGAGGTTGAGCGGGGTGTTTGGCGGGAGAGCGTGGTCATGAGGAGGGGGTGTTGAGGGATGCGACGGGAGAGGTTGGGAGGGTGTGAGGAAGCGGGGAGACGGGGTGTGCTGGTTGCGGATATGTCGAGTGTGCTAGCAATGTCTGAATGAGCGAGTCGAGCCGTGTCAGCGAGTGGGAGAGAGGCGACGAGGGACGAGGGGGTGGATTTCGGTGCACGTGACCTCGTCGTCCAGACGCGTCCCCTCATCATCCAACTTCGCTCATCTGCTCACTCGCTTGCTGGACTCTGTGCTCCTCTAACGCGCTCACACTCACACGCGAGCATGCCCCGGCGCGCCCCCTCCCCCTCCTCCCGTCGCCGCTCCTCCCTCCCCTCCCAACCCTCAACACCCCGCGCCTCCCTCACCCACCCTACAGCCCCGAGGCAGCCCAAACTAAGCGTCCTCGCAGCCGCAGCAAACAGGCTCAGGGATGTCACCGCCACCCCGCGACGGAGCGTATCGGGTCGAGCGGCGCCAGGAGAGGGCGAGAGGGAGGCTGCACCGTTGGTTGTCGAGAGTCAGCGCTATGAGGAGTGGATGAAGATCGCAACCGACAATGTGCGTGCCATCCTCTCAACAAGCTCAGTCTCTCGCTCCTCACTCGCTAACGCTCGCTTGCTCGGTGCAGAAAATCACCTCGACCAACACCTGGAACCTCGCGCTCATCGACTACTTCCACGACATGTCCCTCCTCCGCAACGGCGACGACAACAGCATCAATTTCCAGAAGGCTTCGTGTACCCTCGACGGGTGCGTCAAGATTTGGACGAGCCGAGTCGATAGTGTGGCGAGTGAGACGGGGAAGTTGTTGAGTGGGTTGGGGGACAAGGCCGCTGTGAATGGGGAGGATGAGGGAGACGAGGAGGACGGGGACGGCGAGGAGGACGCCGAGAGGCAGGAGAAGCGTGCGCGCAAGC